TCCTGTGCGGTTAGTGCTTGAAGGAAATACTCAGAGGCAGAGGCTCAGGCTGGGGGAGCGACTTCAGGCAGCACAGTCAGGGCACAGCTCCCTCTGGGAGGCTGGAATGGAGTCCTGGGTCTGGGGCTGGGGCTGGGGCAGGGCTGGAAGGATGGGGGTGCAGGGGGAGGGGAGGAGGGGCAAAGAGCCCAGAGCATCTCCGAGGTCCCCCAAGGCCGGAGCTGGGTGAGGGAGGGGAGCCCAGATCCTGGTAGCCCCTCCGAGGACTTCAGATTTGATTTCTGCCAAGGAAAGTCACCATACAGTCTTCTTGTTTTATTTTCTTTAAATCTACCCTTTTTTTAATTTCTTCCTCTTTTACTGACTTATTTTTTATTAGTTGAATGTTCCCACTACTGGCTTGTGAACTATAACTTCTTTATTTTTTTATTGTTGCTGTAGAGGTTACAATATAAACACTTAACTTACCACTGTCTATCTTCAAATAATAGCATGCACCTTTGTCTATAGCAGCGGTTCTCAACCTGTGGGTCGCGACCCCTTCGGGGGTCGAACGACCCTTTCACAGAAGTCACCTAAGATTATCGGAAAACACATATATAATTACATATTGTTTTTGTGATTAATCACTATGCTTTAATTATGTTCAATTTGTAACAATGAAATTGGGGGTCACCACAACATGAGGAACTGTATTAAAGGGTCACGGCATTAGGAAGGTTGAGAACCACTGGTCTATAGTATAAAATGATTTCTCCTCCTGCCTTTGTGCCACCGTTTTCACCTATAAATAATTTGCTCCTTTATACGTTGTCCTCAGATTCATCCCTGTGGTAGCATATCGCCGAATTCCCTTTTTCTAAAAGCTGGTTAATATTCCATTGTATGCTCTCACCACAGTTGGCTTGTCCATTCATCTGCTGATGGACACGTGGGTGCCTTCCCCCTTCTGGCTGCTGTGGAAAATGCTGCTGTGAACGTGGGTGTACAAATACCTCTTCGAGGCCCTACTCTCCATTCTTTTGGGGAGATGCCCAGACGTGCAATGGCTGGAATTCTATTTTTAAGGTTTGAGGAGCCACCACACTGCTTTCTACAGTGGCTGCGCGTTTTCCCTCCCACCACCAATGCACAAGGGTTCCCGTGTCTCCACTCCCCCTCCAGCCCTGTTGCTCTGTGGGCTTTTTGCTAGTAGCCATTCTAATGAGGGGGAGGTGGCATTTCATTTGGTTTGCGTTTCCCTAACGACTGGTGTCGCTGAGCGTCTTGTCACGTGTCTCTCGGACACCCCCTACCTCCTTTAGAGACGTGTCTGTTACAGTCATCGCCCACTTCTGAATCCGGTTACCTTTCTGTTGTTGAGCTTTAGGAGTTCTCCTTTTGATTCTTTTGTGGGGTCCAAATTTCCCCAGGCTTGTTGTTCTCTTCCCTCTGAAAGAAATCCCTTTAACCTTTCTTGGAGGCCATTCCTCTGACGATAGATTATTTCAATTTTGCTTGGGAAGAAAAGCCTTTGTTTCCACCCTCATTTTTTAAGGCATTTTTTTTTAAAGAGCAGTTCTAGGTTCACAGCAAAATTGAGGGTAAGATACAGAGATTTCCCATGTCCCCCGTACCCACCCCCAGGCACAGCCTCCCCTATTATCACACCCCCCACTAGATGGAGCATTAGTTACCATGGAGCCTGCATAGACACATCATCACCATCCCAAGTCCATAGCTGACATCAGGGTTCACTCTAGGAGTGAGTGGCACATTCTGTGGTTGGACAAACATGTAACGACGTACGTCCATCGTTACCGGGTCAGACGAGTGGTTTCACTGCCTTGAAAATCCTCTGTGCTCTGCCTGCTCCTCCCTCCCCTCAACCCCAACCCCTGGCAGCCCCTGACCTTGGTACTGTCCCCCTAGCTTCGCCTTTTCCAGAAGGCCATGTATTTGGAATCATACACTCTGTGGCCTTTCACTTAGTCGTATGCACTTAAGCTTCGGGCACAGAAAGATTTTAAGCAGAGGAGTGACCTACTCTAATTGAAGTGATTCCAGGTCCACCTGCAGCCCTGGGGAGCATGCATTAGAAGGGGCGGTGGGGTGGGGCAGTCAGGAGGCAGGTGCAGAAATCCATGCCAGGGATGGTCGTGCCTGGAACCTAGAAAAGAAGAGGAAGGGACAGACACACTGACAAGACGGACTGGTAGATGGACAGGGTGGGGGACGCTAACCTATTCCTTCTGCGAGGCTGCCACCGTGTGGCGAGCAAGGGAATGACAGCCGACTGGACTACCCTCGCCAGGCTCCTCCACCCGTTCATGCATCTGAGAAGTATTCCTGGTGCACCTACTATGTGCGTGGCCCTGGGGCAAGGTCTGTGTGGGATACAAGGAAATCTGAGGGGTGGCAGTGAGGAGAGAATACTGCAATAGGCAAAATGTAGGTTTTAATTCTGATTCCTAGGCGTGCTACCATGTGACTGGCTACAGTCCAAGGAGAGACGGGCCAGGCCGACGCTTTGTGGGCCTCGGGGGTTCTGTCGGGGCCCTAGGTGGCGGGGCAGTGCAGGAGCCCCCGGAGGTGCTGTTTACTGCGACACATGTCCCTGCTGCCCATCACTGTCCCTCTCCACTGTCATTGTGTCTGAATGTGGTCTTTTCTCTTTTCCTATCCCCTCTGTCTCTCTATTGGTCCCTTTTACCCTTTGGGGTGCTCTCTCTCCCTCCCTCCCTCGCTCCCTCTTCCCTCTCTCTCTTTTATCCCCCTCTCACGTCACCTCTGCTCTCTCTTCCTGTCTCTCCATTCCTTCCCTCTTCCTGTCCGTCTCTGTGACTGTCTGCCCCTCTAATGCCCGCCCCATCTCTGCTCACCTCTGTTCCATCTCTGCCCACCCCTCTGTTCCTTCTATCTTTCCCACCGCCCCTCTCTCTGGCTATGTCTCTCCTCACCAGCCTGTCCAAAGCGGCCGACCTGGACCATCACTGGGTGGCCAAGGCCTGGCTGAATCCCTCTCCACTGTCATTGTGTCCAAATATGGTCTTTTCTCTTTTCCTATCCCCTCTCTCTATTGGTCCCTTTTTACCCTTTGGGGCGCGCTCTCTCCCTCCCTCCCTCATTCCCTCTTCCCTCTCTCCCCCTCTCACTTCATCTCTGCTCTCTCTTCCTGTCTCTCCATTCCTTCCCTGTTCCTGTCCATCTCTGTGACTGTCTGCCCCTCTAATGCCCGCCCCATCTCTGCTCACCTCTGTTCCATTTCTGCCCGAACCTCTGTTCCTTCTACCTTCCCCACCACCCCTCTCTCTGGCTGTGTCTCTCCTCACCAGCCTGTCCAAAGCGGCTGACCTGGACCATCACTGGGTGGCCAAGGCCTGGCTGAACGACATCGGCCTGTCCCAGTACGCCCAGGCCTTCCAAAACCACCTGGTCGATGGGCGGATGCTGAACTCCCTGATGAAGCGGGACCTGGAGAAGCACCTGAATGTGTCCAAGAAGTTCCACCAGGTCAGCATCCTGCTGGGGATCGAGCTGCTGTACCAAGTGAACTTCAGCAGGGAGGTGAGAGCCAGGCTGTGGGTGCAGGCACCTGCCATACCCTTACTTCCCCCTCTGACAGTCACTGTTTGCCCATCCAACCACCTTCCCATCCTTCCACCCATCCATCCATCCATCCATCCATGCATCCACCTCTTCCTCTCTCCATCCCTCCTTCCAACAACTGCCTATAGCAGTGATGGCGAACCTTTTGAGCTCGGCATGTCAGCATTTTGAAAAACCCTAACTTAACTCTGGTGCCGTGTCACATATAGAAATTTTTTGATATTGGCAACCATAGTAAAACAAAGACTTATATTTTTGATATTTATTTTATATATTTAAATGACATTTAACAAAGAAAAATCAACCAAAAAAAATGAGTTCGCGTGTCACCTCTGACATGCGTGTCATAGGTTCGCCATCACTGGCCTATAGTATGAGGCAGGCCCTGTGCTCAATTCAAGGGAAACAGTGAGTCCTCATCCCCCAAGAACTCATCACTTGTCCTCACCCAGGCCACTGAGGTCCCTGTGAGCACTGTGGACGCTTATTCCCCATGTGACCTCAGCCTGCTCCCCTGTCCCCCAAACTGACCCACTGTCTCCCTCCCACAGGCCCTCCAGGAGCGCCGGGCCCGCTGCGAGACACAGAACACAGACCCCGTGGTCTGGACCAACCAACGGGTGCTCAAGTGGGTGCGAGACATTGACCTGAAGGTGAGGGGTGACAGCGGGTGTGGGGGTGACTCAGGCAGATGCAGACCCCATGCATGTTCGTGTGAGCGGGGGCATCGTTATCCCGGCTGGCAAGAAGCCTCCTGTCACTCAAGAGGAGGAACTACAAACCCCGCCCCCACAATGGGCCCCAGTGCCGATGCCCTCCTCACAGTGGGTGAGGGATGCCAGCCATCCTCACTCTCTAGAGCAGGCGCGGGTTGACTCCAGGCCCATCGTCTCACTCGAGTGCGTGTGGGCTGCCTGCCGCGGTCTGGGAGAGTCAGGGACAAACTGGCCTCGGCCACTGCCCTGCTGGCCCTAAAGAGGGAGGGTGGGCTCCCCTCAGTGTGAAATGACTGGTCCCCAAGGGGCCAAGCCACTGGGAGCGAGGGTCCCTCAGCAGCAGGCTAAGCAGCCTCATGCCTTGCCCCCAGGAGTATGCAGACAACCTGACCAACAGCGGGGTCCATGGCGCCGTGCTGGTGCTGGAGCCCACGTTTACTGCCGAGGCCATGGCCACCGCCCTGGGCATCCCCAGCGGGAAGCACATCCTCCGGAGACACCTGGCGGAGGAGATGAGCGCTATCTTCCCCCCGGCCACGTGAGTGCGGGCAGCCTCGCCCCCGGCCACGCGGGGGCAGGTGCCCCGACTCCCCATCCGGGCCCTCACTCACGGGGTCCCGCCTGCCCCTGCAACAGGGCGGTTGGTCTCCTTTCATAGGGCTGGGAACTGGGGCTCAGAGAAGCGAAGTGCTTTAGCTCAAACGTCATGGACTAGAAAGAGGTGGAGTAAAGTGTGTGGGTACATCCCCACGGCCCCGGGCATTCGGAACGGGGCGAAGGACGGAGAGTGTGAGCAGAGGCCCTGGGAGGGGGTCTCAGCTGGGGACGATTCGCACTGGCCTCAGAGGTTCGATGCCAACGGCCATTCCAGGCAGGGATGCCTGTGGGGTCAAAGGCTTGGAGAAGGGGCTGGGCATCCGAATGGTGTTTATGGTCCAGGTGAACAGACCCGGCCAGCCCACCTACCCAGTCTCCTCATCAGAAAAGTGACCAAGAACAAACACCCAGACGAGCAGGCTAGCGCCTCCTAGTGGATGCTCCCCGCAGGTGACTGCAGCAGGTCAGACCCTCCACTGATCACTGAGCACTGAGGTCTGGGCTGCAAATGCTCACTAGGCCGCGTCAAGCCTCCGAAGACCTCCGTCTGGTGCTGGTTTCTTCCCGACACGTTTGTATTTCCATCCGAAGGAGCCACACGGCGGGATGGCAGCTGCTGTGGGAGAACGAGGGGGGTATTCCGGCGCGGTGGTGACAGGGCCGGCCGGTGCCGCTGTGTGCACCGCAAAGGCAACCACTTCCCCTCAGGGCACATGGCTAACTAGTAAAGGCCAGAGGTGCTTCCCGGGCTCCATTGTATGGATGAGGAAATGGGCCCAGCGAGGTCATCGGTCATCGGTGGCGGCACGAGGGCACTGCCAGGGGACTCAGACCAGGCCTGTGCCCCTCACAGCCCCTGCTGGTCACAGTCAGATGTAATTATAGCCGTCCATCCCGGTGCACCAGCCACTCTGGGCCTCGTGTGTGTCATCTCATTTGGCTCCAGGACGCCCTATGAGAGAAGTGCTGCGATGACCCCTTACAGAGCGCATGGCCCTGGGGACACAGCTGCTAAGGGCCGATCAGGCCACGCGTGAGCATGCGTGTCTCCGGGAGCCGGAGCTGACTGGATCCCCCCCCCCCCCCCCCCCCCCCACACACACACACACACAGACATGCACTCCGGCTGTCTGGGGTCTTTAGGCCAGTACTGAGCGCTTCGGCACGCCCCCCGGGCGGGCCCCCGGCACCCCCCGGGCGGGGAAGGAGGAGAACAGCAGTGGCATCAGGCACAAGGCTGGCCGGGTAAGTGGCCTCTGGTTCACTGAGTCCTGCTGCCTGGGAAGGTCTTTTTGTCCAGGCCAGCGTGGCCCTTCCCAGCTCCTGTGTTGGCCTGTGGGGGCTGCTGGGCCGGGTCACAGGTGCAACAAGGACAGAGGCCCCGGGACCTGTGTGATGCAGAAGCCCCACGAGGGTTAGGGGAGTGGCTCCACCTGCAGGTCTCAGCCGCCTCAGCGTCACCTGGGCAGTTGCTTTTCATACAAAGTCTGGGACCCACCTGGACTCCTGAAGCAGAGGCCTCTGGGAGCCACTGACTTGGGGTTTGAGCCCCAGTGACCTGGCCAGTCGCAGCAGGGGAGCCTCTGATGTGAGCAAACGTGTGCGGTTTGGGGCTGATCACACACTCAGACCGCACAGTCCTCGGTGGAGGTGGAGGCACAGGGGGCAGAAGTGACCCCAAAATTCTTCCATTCGCTCAGCGAACCCTGGGGGGCGCTAACAGCCTTCCAGGCACCTTCCTACTAGTAAACGTGGGGGGAGAAGCATGAATCAATGACCACCTTCCTCCTAAGGTGCTCTCGGCCCAGAGCGAGCATTCTCATTAAGGGCGACTCCCCCAAAGGGGGGGAAACTGGCTTGGATAACGCCTCCCTCCTTTTATGTCACTAGGAGAGTATATCTGCGGTTAATTTCATGGCCAGAGTGTGATGAGGGGAACATGTCTAAAAGGCTTTCTTTATGGGGAGAAAAATGGAAAAAGATAGGATTTACTATTCCCATTTAGTAACTGAGAAAACTGAGTCTCAGAGAGGGCAAGTGACTTGTCCCAGGTCACACAGCTGGGAAGTGGCAGGGCAGGGATCTGAACCCTGGTGTGAGACTCTCTGAAACCCACACGTTTTACGTCACATGAGGCAGCGCTAGAATATTTCTCCTTGACTTGGGAATGAGGTCAGACCCCATGCGCATGCTCGGACGGCCCCTCCTCCGTTACGCCTTCCTCCCACTGAGGAGGAAGATGGGAGATTTGTGGATAATCAGAAAGACTATGTCTTATTCTCACCCTTGGTGACAACTGGTTCCTTCCAGTTGGGAACACAAAGCTCTCTCCTAATGTTAACTCACAAATTCCTCTCAGTCTCCCTGAGCAGTGGAGTATTATTGCTAACTAGAGGCACGTGCACCAGTGGGGTCCCTCGGCCTGGCCTGCGGGATTGGGCTGAAACCAGCTCTTCGACATACTCCGAGGGGTCCCAGATTGCGAGAAGGTGTAGGCCAGGCCAGGGGACCCCACCGGTGCACGTGCACGATCAGGGTGCGGAGGGACCGCGGGAGGGCTCCCGGGCATGTCCAGCCCATCTCTCTTAGTCTGCAGCAGCAAGCTAACCTACTGGTTGGAGCATCTGCCCCCTGGTGGTCAGTGCATGTCATAGTGAGCGGTTGAGCGGCCTTAGCATATCATTAGCATATTACGCTTTGATTGGTTGAGTGGCCAACCAGACAACTGGACGCTTAGCATATTAGGCTTTTATTATATAGGATAGGAAAAGCACAGAGAGGTTAGGGAAGTTACTCAAGGTCACACAGCAATTAGACTTGGAGACGCCACACGTCCCAGATCTGAAAATTCCATTCCTTTTCTTCCTGGTCCTGTGGCCTCGTGCTCTCTCCTCAGCTGCCCCTGGGGAAGATAGGACGGGGCTTCAGCAGCAAAGAGCCCGATTTCCATGATGACTACGGCTCCCTCCACAATGAAGACTGCGGGGACGAGGACCTCGAGGGCCGGCCAGAGCAGTGCCGCCTGGAGGGCTACAATGGCCTGGAGGTCACCAACGTGTGAGGAGCCGATGCTCGGCCAGACCCCACATGGGGAGTCACCTAGAGGAAGAGGAGCCGGACGCCATCGCCCCTGTACATAGTGCCTGCGGCTGAGGAGGCGCGTCGGTCCCGGGGAAATCCCCACAGACGCCGCAGCTTCAGATGGGAGCACAGGGAGCCAGGAGGCGCCCGCCGGCGACGTTCCACTCAGCAGAAGGGCACTGGCCCCAGGACCTGTCACATGCCAGCCCCTCCATCACCCAGGCCCCACCCCAGAGTGACTGACTGTCAGCGCTCTCCTGGCTGCCAAGGCGGAAAGGGGCCACGACGCCCCATCCGGGAGGAGCAGATGGGCTCCACGCAGACATGCGAGCCCCGCGGGGACAGAGGTCAGCAGGCAAAGCCCAAGGTTGACCCGTCAGCAGGTGACCCTCCAGCCAGTGAGGCGGCAGGAAAGGCTGCCCAGGGCCGAGACGCCACACGGAGGGAGGGCGCAGCCCAGCATCCTCGCCCCCGTGACTGAGAGCCTGGGTTCCCTGGGGGGTCGCTGAGCCCCTCTTGGGAGCAAGCGGAACGGGGGAGTCATTGTCTCTGCCCCGAAAGCCCCGGTCACGGGGGGTGGACGTGTGGGAGAGTAATTGCTCGTCCTCCCAGGAGCAGCTCCCCGGGTGGGCGCAGGTGGATGGTCTGTGCGGGGCGGGGCTTGGCAATGACAGTCCCAGGAAATGCAACATCCTGTCATCGGGCGAAGGGCAGGTGAGGGCAGGATCAGGGATGACTGAGGGAGGCCCGGGACAACTGTGCCCAATGTGGCAGCGGATCCGGGATCAGGGCAGGGAGTCCTCATCGCTACCCCCGCAAACCTTCGCTGTGATGGCTGCCGCCTGCGCACAGGTGTCCTGGCTGAGATGAGCCTCGCAGAGCCACGCCGGCGGGATGGCGGCGAGAACCGCGGGCCTCTGCCTGACTCGCCACTGTGTGCTGTGTGGCTTCTCCCGGCGGCCTCGCCTCTCTGCGCCTCAGCATCCTCCTCTAACGCTGCTTCCCTGCCAGGGGGGTGCGAGGACTAACACTTGACTAACGTCTATAACGCACTCCGTAGCCTCTTGGGAGGCAGGTGGGAAGTTGGGGGTCTAATCCCCAACTTACTACACAACATGGACATGGACCTGCCCCTCTAACTCGGTTATTTTGGAAACAACGTGCAAAAGGAGCACAAGGCATGTGGGATATTTCGACCCTTTAGCACCCTGATAGGGCTTGAGCGGGGAGAGAGAGAGAGAGAGAGAGAGAGAGAGAGAGGCACCCCATAGGCACAGCCCTTGGAAACCAGTTTGATTCCAGGGATCGGCTGGGCTTCCTGGACCCCGACGCTGAGTGACGATCCGGGAAGGACAAAACGCAGCATCCCACTGACACTCGGTTATGGAAGCGGGTCATCTGTTGGAACCACGATGCCCCACTTCCATTGAAGCCGTGTGCCCTGAGAGGCCAGGAGGAAAGGGTGTGAATTCCCAACACTTGAGTCAGCCTCGAAGACCTCTCCAACCCAGGGTGGGCGACACAGACCGAGCCCCAAGGAACTGGGGGTCCCTCCCAGAGCCAGACCGTGCGTCTCCCCCACCGTGACACAAGCACAGCCTCCCGCCCCCGGGGCCAGGTGCCTGGTAGGTGGGCAGGGAGACGCCCCCTCTTGTCCGATGTTTGGCCTCCTCGGGACACAGTTCTGATTCCGGGGCCTGAGGCGTGAAGCTCTGGGACCTGCCCTGGCTTCGCGGAGGGTCCAGACCCCAGTGTCTCTGTGACATTCAGCCACATGTGGGCTGGAGCTGCAGAGCCCGCAGCTGGGGCGGGAGAACCAGACGCCCAGCCACGCTGGTGCCAGGTCACTCCTGAGCCAGCCTCAGCCTGGGTGGCCGGCACCCCAGGACCTGCCTCCAGGGGGCAGCCAAGCAGGAGGCCAGTCATCCCCTCAGGGTGGGCGAAGGCTTGTCAGGAATGAAGCTCGCCTTGTCCCCGGCGCACCCCCTTTGCCGACAAGGTGAGCAAGCAGCGGCTTGGGGGTCACCAGCAGGGGTGACGTTAGTCCGAAAGGCCTGGGGCCACGTGGACCACTTCACACCCACCTTTTGGTCCAAAGATGCCCTGAGCACACACTCGCTCCTCACCAGGTGCGCATTGGGAGCTGGCCTTGGGCTTTGTCTTCAGGAAAATGTCAATCTGTTTGTGGAAAAAAAAAGGGGGGGGGGGGGGGGGGGGGGGGGGAAAGGGGAGGCAAGGGGCGCAGACGGACTCGACAGGAAGACCTGCTGGCTGACTGACAAGGGCTGGCTGAGCGGCCACCTGCACACACGGACCTGCACGTCCTGCCCAAACCGCCTGGGCGGTGGTCTTGGTCCTTGAAGGGTGACCTGGCATCGGGACGCAGAACAGCACAACGCGCTTCTCTGGGAGGTGCCGCCCGTGCCTGCGGGGCTGGCCCCCTGGACGGGTGGCTGGTGCCAGAGGCGGGAGCACCAGGGTGGGCAGAGGGACCCGTGTTCCTCCCAGAGGCTGGGCCAGAGCCACCAGGAGGCACCTGGTTGGCACTCAGCTTTCTGACCCCAGGCGCCCCTGAGAGACCCCTGTGTCCGGGGCTGAGCAGAGCCTTTCTCTGCTGTCAGCGTCGCTGTCACCAGGCCCCAGGCTGCAGGGGGCAGGGTGAGACCCTGACCTGATGAAGTGCGGGGGGGAGGGGTCCTTACACAGCCAGCGTGGAGGGGCCTCGGAATAATGCCCCCCAATCCTGAGCTCGTTGACCCGGGCTGGGGCTGGCAGCGTGGGGTGACGTGGGCAAGAACAGGCCTGAGTGCTCCCCGCAGGGCCCCCGGGTCCCTCTATGCTCCTTCGAGACTCCCACGGGCTCCTGGCAGTTGAGTGACATGAAAGACCCCGTGGGAAACAGAACCGTGGGAATGGGCCTTCCTCCCCGGGGTTGGCTGGGGAGGGGGATTTCCCGAGCCTCCCCCACCGGCTGGGGGCTGCTGAGGACTCACAGGGGGAACACCCTCCCCAGAGAGAATGTTAACACTGTAACAATAAACACTACTGCACAGCGCTTCCCTGACGAGGCAGCCTTTCTCGACATCTGTTCTCATTTCATTCCCCAACAGCCTCTTTGGAAGGAGATTATGAACCCATTGCATCGATGCAGAAACTGAGGTTGGAAAGGCCGAGGGCCTGCCCAGCTCTAGAAAGCAAAGAAGCCCCGAGGCAGAGACTGGAACACAGTCATCTGCCTCCAGATCCCAGCGGGTCCCTCCCAACCCCTGCACCCCCCACTGCAGTACTGGCCATCCCACCCTCCCCCACCTTCCAGCCTAGGACTTACCTTCCCGGTGCATCACTCAAACGTGGAGCCCAGGGGTAAGGCTGGTGGCAGAGAGCTGCACGGTATTTCCAGGATCTCCATCTCTCTCTCGGCTTTGCTTCCCTCTCTGTCGGGTTCATTCCCACACAAGTCGGCCCCATCTGTTGGCCAACTGACCAACAGACACACCACCTCCAGGCTGGCAGCCAGCCTTCCTGCTTCTGCTGCTCCGAGGGAGAGCTGTGGACCAGAGTCTCTGGCCTCAACCAATGGACAAAAAGACGCCGGTTAGTGAAGCAGGTGCTGCGAGGAAAACGCACAGCAGGCGCGGGAGCAGGCGCAGGAGGCGCGTGAGGGGGGCAGGGCCCAGGGGCAGGGCCGTTGGCTCCTTCCTTTCTGCGGCTCACGGCCCTTACCCCAGGGAATCCAGTGGCACAGTCATCCTGGGCTCACTGAAGGTGGCAACCCCTTTCCCAGAGGCACCCTCTCTAGGTTGCATCAGAGTGTGGGGGTCACGGGGTACAGTCCACATTGGAGGGGAAGCAACATACAGGGTCACGGAGACCAATCTCCGAACCCATGTGGGAAGTTCCTCCGAGGCTGCCAAGCTCTGCCGCATCCACAACGTGCTCTGTAATTGCTGCTCCTGGTCTTATCTGTTCCAGCTGCTGCAGCAAAGTGCCCTAGGCTAGGGGCTCAGAAACACAGGGTCTCACTCCTTGTAGCCCAGTGGGCAGTGCAGGGCCAGGGCGCCAGCATGGCTGGTCTGGGGAGAGCTCTCTCCCACGCTGTGGGGGGCGTCTTCTCTCTGTGTCCTCCTGGTGGAAGGGATGAGGGACCTCTCTGGGGTCCTTTCTAAGGGCACTAACTCCATTCATGAGGGCTCCACCCTCATGACCTAATCACCTTCAAAGGCCCCCCCTGCTAACACCATCACATGGGGGTTAGGTTTCAACATGTGAACTTGGGTGGGGGGGATACAAACATTGAGTCCATAACACTTAACATAGACGTATTTTAAGTTTGGCCCAGGCCTGACATTGCTACCTACTTCTGTGAAACCACAGAAATAGATGTCCATATATATGTACAACCATGTACCAAGTATATGGACATGCATGTACCAAGTGTACACATAAATATACACACAGCCAAGTGCTTGTCTGTGTGTCCCCAAGACCAGCCGCACGCCGGGAGGGCGGCAGCGACGTGCTGGGAAGCACTGCTCTGCGGCGTCTCCCCCACGGCACGCTCAGACCCGGAGCCAGCCCGCACCCTCCCCAGCTCCGGTGGTGCCAGATGTCTGCTCCCACACACTGCCTCCGGCCCCAGTCCCTCCTCACAGCCGGCCGGGCCTGGGATTGTTTAAGCAGCACACACACCTGCTTCCCCAAACACCTGTTCTCTCCGGCTACAGACCTTCAAGCCTTCTCCAGGTCCCTCGGCTCTTCCTCTCTTGTCCCCTTCCTCCTCCTTTTGTTCCTCCTCCTCTTCACCCTCCCCCTCCTCCTCCTCCTCCTCCCCCTCTTCCTCCTCATCTGGACATTCCCTTTATAAACATGTCACTGAAATCACACTCAGTGCTCCCAACGGATCTGAGCGCTGGGACTGTTAACATAGGACCCTCTTCCTAAGGGCCAGGCCCTGTGCTACCCACGACCTCACTGAGTCCTCAGAGCAACCCCAGCAGACGGGTGCTCTTATCTCCGCTGTACAGAAGTGGGAAGAAGTTAAGACCTGGCCCAAGCTTACACAATGGGTAGTAGTCAAAGTAGGACTTGAACCTAGGTATTAGCCACTGTATTGTATCCTTCCCTAACCCGGGCACTATGCTTCTAGTAATACGACCACATACAGCATCAGCTTTTCTAATGAAGTCCACATCCCACAGTTGCCTCATTTAACGTGTGGACAGCTGAGTCAGGGTGTCAAGTCCAGCTGCCATGGGAGTTACTGAAGAAGTCTTGTTAAGAATTCAGATTCCCAGATTCCCAAGCCTAATAATTTAGACTTTGCCGGTAAGGCTTGGAGATGTACATTCTAAAGCTAAAGTGCATATTTCCAGACCTCGGAGGGTCTGGTGCAGCAGGTGTGGAGCACACGTATGTTTGAAAACCTCCTTGGGTGACAGCCAGGGCGTGGACCCCTGCCCTCGGATAATCAACTCCAGCGTGGACAGTTCTTGGTCCATTACACCGGGAAGTCCCACCGCTCTCCACTAGATGGCGAGGTATGTCCCTCTCAGCCCCAGTCCCGCCCAGCTCAGCTCAGCAAGAAGCAAACCAGCCCAGGCCACCCAGACACCCCTGCCCATGAGGTAGGGCTGCAAGGGGGCAGCCTCCTATGATTCCTGCCCCCTCCCTGCGACCCGAAAAGAGTGGTTCTTCAATAGGGGGAAATGTCTGTTTCCCCTCCGAAGGCAAGAAACACATCTTCAGGGGGAGAAGCAGCATTTGGAAGCTGGCCTCAGGGCAAACTGGAATACCTGTTGACCCACCGAGATTCAAGATTCGCTCCCAGCCAGGAGGCCTGGATCCTGAGCCCAGTACAGGGCTCGAGGGTGACAGGCTGCCCAGCGGGGAGCCAGCAGGGAAATAGGAAGCATCCCACCAACCACGAGGCCTCCCACCAACCACGGGGACTTCCTCTGTTGATGCAACTCCAACAGGAGGCCCCTCCAACAGGAGGCTCCAGCTGTTCCCCTTCCAATGAGAGGGCCCAGGCAGGTGGCCTCCAGGAGCCCGATACTGCCCCCTGCTGGGCAGCAGCTGGGGAGCAGCAGGATACTCGCCAGGGCCATTGTTCCCAGGGAGAGAGGCTATAAAAACAGGACCATGTGGGCAGCCAGGGGAGTCACACACACAACTGGGGCACCTGAAGAATGGCCATAAACTTCACCTGGCCCAGCCACCTGCCTCCTCCTCATGTTCCTACAGAATAAACGAGCCTTCCTCCTGGCCCCGGGGCAAGGAGGGCCTCTGCCCGTGGGTGCCAGGACACCTCGGGGACAATCAGGCGGCCAGGTGTGGGGTGCGGGGTGTGGAGAGCGGGAGAACCTGGGGCAAAGAAAAACAGATGTGAGGAAGGACACTGGTGGGCTGATTAATTGCCCCCAAAAATGCCCCATCCTAATCCCCAGAACCTGTGACTATGTCAGCTGACACAGCAAAGGGGAATTAAGGTTGCTAATCAGCTGATCTTAAATAGGAAGATTACCCCATTTTAGAATTGTCTGGGTGGCATAAAGTCATCATAAGGGGCCTTAAAAGTAGACTGAGGCCCGGCCAGTCTGGCTCAGTGGTTGAGAGTTGACCTGTGAACCAGGAGGTCACGGTTCAATTCCTGGTCAGGGCACATGGTCAGGTTGTGGGCTCGATCCCCAGTGTGGGGCGTGCAGGAGGCAGCCAATTGCTGATTCTCTCTCGTCATTGATGTTTCTATCTCTCTCCCCTCTCCCTTCCTTTCTGAAATCAAATTATATATATATATATTTTATTATATATATATTTAAAATAGTAGACTGAGGCAGAAGAGGAGAGTGGCGAGAGCTCTGACTATGGAAGAAGGTCAGAGTGATGTTTTGTGAACAAAAAGGCTCAACCACTATTCCTGGCTCTGAAGATGGAGGAAGGGGCCACCAGCCACGGCATGTGGGCGCCTCTAGAAGCTGGAAAAGACCGGGAACCAGATTCTCCCCGGAGCCTCCGGGAGGAGCCTGGCCCTTCTGACCCCTTGACGTTTAGCCCAGGGAGACGCCTGTCAGACTGCTCATCTACAGGACTGTCAAGCAGTGCATTTTTGCTGGTTTGTGGCGTTTGTTACAGCGTCCCTGGGAAACTAATACACGGGCAAGGCAGCCGTCAAAGGTCTAGCACACTGGATCCTCAGCTTAGCCC